AGATGCTCAAAGACAGAGTATAGTAAAAGTGGGGAAAATAATCTCAGGGATGAAAAACAGTATCTAAACTTCAGCCTTCTGTTTCCTATTCTATGTCTTGCCTACTTTCCGATAGTCTTCCTGAACTGATAGGATAGAAATTAGAAGCATGTTCTTTGGAGTTACAGAAACTAGTTTTGCATCTCAAACATGCCCAAGACCTTGGCCAACCTATTGAATCCTTCTGAACTTTAGTTTCCTCCTCTTAAATACATAAGAGTACCAACAGATAGTGACTATGAGGGTACTAAAATTAGAACATAACATCAGTTTAAATGGGAAATGAACAAATTAGGTCAGTGTGTGAGTGCTGACTCCAACATTGCTCTTAGCATATTACTGATGAAATTGAAGCTTGCTTGGTATAGGTATGGTCATGTGTGAGATGAATGGCCCTGCTGACACTGTGCATTGCTTAGGCAAGTACAAGACACGAAGTCTATCCTGACCATTACCTCATTTTGTTTACAGAGATTTGTTGTGCTTCTCCAAGGTTATCAGCAAATCAACAAAACTACAGAAATTTGAATTCAGGGTTTCAGATTCCCAGTCCATAGTTACAAGGTATTTGCATCCAGAGAATCAATGTACATTCAGAGATGCATATACACCCTAGGATAAAGTCTCATGTTTTAAATTAAAGGCACTCCATATACACTCTTAGAGAAGTCACTGTTTAGACAGGCAAGGCAGAAAGCTCAGTCTGGACCGGGAGCTGAGCAGGTGAGGTGGTAAAGAGAGACAAGGTGGCTAGCCTAAAACTGACTTTAGAATGTCTCCCTAAAAGATATATAATTATTATTTGAAAACTACAAAGGGACTCAGAGATCAGCATTAGATACTGATAAATACTGAGTTACAGATCTGCCAAAGAATCTTGCTTAAATTTTGATATACAATAGTGCATGCTTATGCCTTCAGCATTGGGGACCAGGCTCAGACTCCAGGAAATGTATCCAAAAGCATGAAATTGAACTATATGAAACTTGGAGACATATACATATAATTTCACACCTCACAAACAGACATCAAAGTGTAGAGCTTCTCATATGTGAGTGGCTAATAAACACCTCTAGTGATCAAGATACACTGGTAAGGCACTAAAACTCGAGTTTTCGCTCCCGTATCAAGGTACTTTGTGTCTTGAGGTATTAAGCCAAGGAAGCATATAGATGACCTAAATACCCCTTGACTGGCTGTTTATCTGGGGGAGGCTGTTTCACTATTCCCGGGAGAGGAGGGAAGGGGTGAAGTACACTCAGGATTGAAGAGCCAAGTCATGATGAGGCTCTCTCTCCATGCCAAGACTAAGCATGGTGCCCACAAAAGGGAGGTTTGTGTCCCTACATCATGGCATGGTACCCATTTTAGGACATTTTAAGGTCTAAATTTGATCAATAGATGTAGGATGAAAAGGTAGGGTCATTGACTAGTGACAGTACATGATTCGATATTTTGAAGTGTATTTGGCTAAAATCATAGTGGTAGATAATTAACTATGAGGAAGGGGCTCTAGGTTCCTTTCTTATAATGCTCACCTAACTCCAAATGGTCCTGGTCACATATGATTCCACATTCAAAGAAGCCCAGTCCAAATAGCCAAGGGTAACACAAAAGGGATTCTAAACTTTAATTTGTGTCCTTTGCAAATAGTAAGGAACCTTCATTAAATCACTCACAAACATCTCATATCCCTTTTTGTTTTTTACTTCTTAAGATCGCTTTCCCATTACAAAACAAATCCAAGCAAAAATAAAACATCCCTCAGACTAGGTTGTTTTCTTCCCTTTCTTTTCCACCTCCTGCCCCAGGTATCTACAAGTAAATTAATTTAGCTTCTTCCATTAAGCCCTTCCCTTCATCCTTTGGACCTCAAGGCCATTCTCTGTCATTCTCTGTCTGTTTTTTAGTTCTGTGTCACAAAATGAAACCATGAACAGAAAAAAAAAAAAATGTGGAGAATGGCAAAGGAGACCTAGAGCCAATGATGGCAAACCCTTGAGAGAGAGGTTAGGGACACCTATGTTTACTGCAAACATCTGTGAATCTGTGTCACAATGAAACCATGAACAGAAAAAAAAAAAATGTGGAGAATGGCAAAGGAGACCTAGAGCCAATGATGGCAAACCCTTGAGAGAGAGGTTAGGGACACCTATGTTTACTGCAAACATCTGTGACTGTAGATTTAGAAAGACTTTGAGTTAGCTGATCCATTAGGATCAGAAAAAATAGACAGCTACTGCCCATGGAGGGTGGGAAGAGGACTGAGCGGGTTTGAGATACTGGAGATAGTACTTGGGATTTGACTTCAGAGAACTTGTGGATTCAGAAACGGTGCCGAGGAAGCTTCTTTCCCTTCTAGATAGCTATGGATAGCAATGTGGACAGCAGTATTTTAATAACAGACTCAATTGATCAATGTTTCTCATATTTACACAAGGGCTGAGGTTGGCAGAGGCACAAGGAAATGAAGGAGGTCACCACGCCCACCACTGTCTTCTGAGGAATTTCTAGAGGAAGACAGTTCAGGTCAGTAGAAATATTTAGTGTTTATGTTTAATTTCTTTTGCTTCCCCTCCCTTCCGAACCTGTCCCCTCTGCTCTTCAACTTCAGGTTTCCCTTCCCCACACCCATCTGTAAATTGGTCAACCATGTCACCAAAATGTCTCACTTATAACAAAACAAGACACTATATGTAAACCTGATGAGCTCCCCACCCTCATTGTGACACTGTATCACAGCATCTGAGTTTTAACTGTTTAAGAAATAGGGATCATGGCCCACCCGTTGGCTGAATGTGATGAAGTTTTACAGACATGAGAGAGGATGTTAAAAGACAAGAGGCTAAAGCTACATGAAAGATTCACTTTATACTTGCTCCCACCCTAGAAACAGAAAGCTCTTTCCTCTCTCCCGGAATGTCACACATTTCAGAAATAGCTGTTGAGAAGGAAGTGAAATTTCTTCACAAGCTCACAGACAACGGTGACGTGAGTTAAGCCAGGCTTTAGAAAGAGCAAAATTGGAAGAATATATCTGACTTACAAATCAGTAGCAAAGAATGAGGAAATCACAGGTCTATCAAAGAGATATTCAATTCTATTAAATTGGTCACTTTTTCCAAGTAGATAATTCCCAACTCACCTCTGCCTCTACTAAATCTGTGACTCTAAGAAACATTTTAATGATCTTATATGTGCAATGCGCTTACTGCCCTCTGAAAAATCAAAGCCCATGTTCTACCTCATATAATAGCAGCTGTCTAGTCCCTGGGACATACAAATTAGATGTGTTTTATTGGTAGTGGTGATGGCGATGATGATGATTATGAGATAATTATGCTGTGCTCTCTATCACCCTTCAAGGGCTCCCTGTATTTAGAGTTTTCACAGTATATTCTCTCCCTCCTTCTCTCTCTCTCAGTAAAAACCTTAATTTATAAGCCATTCTTCTGGTCATTTGAGGAAAGAATTGATCATAATAGGAAAAAAGATGTCAAGAAAGGACAAGATGCTACCAATAAGATATCCTGGCCAGAGGAAGGACTGGCATATCTGGCTTATTCAAAGCACAACTGAGAGAGAGACAGAGAGAGAGAGAGAGAGAGAGAGAGAGAGAGACAGAGAGAGAAAGAGGAGACAGATTCTAGTGTCTCTTGCAATATATGGTTGGAATCCCTGTATTTCTGAATCATTAGTGTCTAGAAATGGGAAAACTGCTTTTAAATTGTTTTCTGCATTCACATTAATGTGGCTCCTAGGTAGAAGCAGGGAATAGTCTTTGACACATTCTGCTCCTTTGCTTCAGTGAGTAACAAGTTTTATAAGTGTCTTTTATCTTAGAGGTGGAAGGAAGTGTCTCAGTCTTGTTCTTGGGGTTGTGTCCTGAACTCTGTGCATAATTCAACACTGCACTTCAGGCTGAGATGTTAGTTTGGTTAATGATGTAAGTTTGCTTTTACTGGGGACAGAGCACCTTCAGGGACTCATAATTATAATGTGGATAAATGCTTTGTTGCTTCTAGTAGCCTAGCAAGAGGGAAGGTGGAGACTAAGATTAGAGCCCTGAGGATGAAATTTGGACAATACGAGATTGGGAGTAAATGTGCAATGTGAGGACAGGGAGGGCCTAAGGACAGATGGTAAGGAGAACTCTTAGGTGGAGGAATATCCAACCAACTCTAAGGACGGTTCTAGCTGACATTTATTGTTGTATTTCCTTTCCTCTATCTAATTCCCTACAGCTAGCCTCTAGCCTATGGACACAATCTTGGGAATAAGGGAAGAATTTGTACCTTTGCTCCACGAGCAACATGATTTTCAGGAAATATACACAATATGAGAAAACTGTGTTAACTGGCCAGAGGTTTCGGGGGAAACATTCTGTTGAGAAGTGAAAAGCAGCAACAAGCAGCTGGAAAAGGTTCTGCAGGACACAGAATATGAAGAAGTACGGAACAAGAGAGAGTCCTTGGGTCTCTTACCCCATTAGACGCTTTGAGGGCAGCTTGGGAGGCTGCTACCCAATTAGTGGACATAAAGGGTAAATGGAGGTGTGAGAGAGGAAGGACCGTTTTTCTGAAATTATTTCTGTGCTCAACTTTGTTCTTGGGGCTCCCACCAGGCTCCCAGCAGTCTTGATGATGTGACCAATCGCAACAGAACGGTCAACTCCAAGAAGACTCATTTCATAATACACAGAATCCCACGCCACATCATGGTGGCCTAGCTATTGGAATCACTGGCCCCATGAGAAACTACTGTTCTTGGGGTCACTTGCAAGCAAAGCGTACACACCCTTCAAACAACAACAACGCCAGAAGCCACAGTTGGCCCAAGTATTTGAGGAAATCAACCATAATATCAGATGATTTCTCTGGGACAGTGATCAACAGAACGATGACATGCAGTGGGGTCAAACTTGGGTCAGTGGAATCTGCAGGGCAAAGTCAGAGACTCACCTCCTTTTGATGGTGAGCATCACACCCAGCAGAATGATGATGAACATGAGGAGGCCAGCAATCACGCCAGCCATCTTCACAGTGTTGTCCACCTGCTTCTCTGGTTCCACGGTGTTAGAGTTCTGCGAGGAGGCACCTTGAGCAGAAAAGGAGAAGGGAGATGTTACAAAGACTCACAGGTGTGATCAGACTACAATAATAATGACAACAGCTTCCACTAGTGAGTGTCAACTGTATGCCAGGCACTGTGGTTAGGACTTTATCCACGTTGCCCCATTTGATCCCTTCTAATAATTAATCCCTTGTGAAGGAGGGATCATTATCAGAACCTTTGGGAGATGAAGAAACCGACATGAAGAGAAATTGATTTCCCAAGGTTTTATAACTTCCATGCTGGAGCATCTTCCTCTTCTAGGGAGATCGAGTGGAAGCTTTTATTCTCATACTGCTTTCTTTGTCTCTAGCAACTAACCTTGGAATTCAGTGCTTGGAATTATTCCTAACCCTATTTTATTTGTTTGGATAAATGGTGAAAATCACAACTTTATGTCAAGGCAACACAATTAAGATCACTAGATTTTTGAAGATAAAAACGTAAAGTTTCTTTCTTTGTAAGAAACAAATAGTAGGGTAAAAAATTAGTACAAGGTCCAGGGATTTGGCTTGATGGTTCCACCGCCTGCCTTGTAAGCGCAAGGACCCAAGTTCAAGCCCCGGGACCAAAAAAACAAGAAAGAAGAAAAATGTTCATCTAAAAAATTAATACATTAAAGGGAATTGCATTGGGTTCAGAAGAACATCTGAATAACTTCAGTTTTAGGGATTTATGCTAATGTTAATATTATGTGATCTACAGGTAGTAAGTTATTGACTCAATTCCCTCTAGAGAAAGGTAAGTAACTGGCCACTCTATCTTTCCCGTTGTGCTGGGTGACTCATAGATCTAACTTGTCAATCTTCACACAAATTCCCAAACGTGGATATTGATTTTCTCATTTTATAGATGAAAACACAAAGAGACTTGCTAGAGGTGACACTGTTGATAAAGTTAGACCCAGAATTTCTCAGGTTTGCTGACTCCAAGTGTAGTCCTCAATAGTCAGAAACCTTGCATTCAACTTTCAAGTCCCCTAGTTCCTGTCTCCCCTCCCTCAAACACCTATTTTACTCATACCATAGCAAAAGTTAAGTAACAACAATTAAAAAAAAAAAAAAGCCAAAGCCCATCCTCTGGCTTCTGTGCACTAGGGATCAAGGATAACTTCCTGTCTCAGACATTGTGGAGAGTGATCCAGGGGTCACCATACCCATATGCCTTCTGTGAGCGCCTGTGCCTCTAGGAGTCTCCCTCCTCCTCCTCCCCACCCCCAACTTCTGAGACTGTACATATCTCACAGTATCTCTTACCACAACGTATTGATGTTATTAGCTATCTGTTTCCTCGTTGTCTCCTCCACTGGTCTGCAAACTCCTCAGAGCTAAGATTATGCCTCGTTTATCTCTGCTTTTATACGTTATCACAGAGCTTGACTCGTGACAGAGGCTCCCTAAATGTTTGTGTTTGTTCCATGTTTAGCTAAAAGGATGATGCCTCTGCCCACTCACATTTGTTCTCATGGATTCAAATTAAGCTTCTCCTTTTTGCAGTCACATAGTCATAGAACTCAGCTGAGTCTTATATTTAAGGGTACTAATATTCATAAGCTTTGATTCTGGTCCCACAAACTCACTGATATTTGAGAACAGCTTTCAAATGCAGTGGAGTACATTTTTTTTTTTTTTTTTTTGCTTAATAGTGTAGTGTTTTCTTTCTTAGAGGACTTATCTTCTGTAATATGAATAATGTGAATTTACTTAGCCAAATTTCTCTAGTGAGAACAGTGAGTCTTTAAGAACAGGGATTACATGCTACTCATCTCTAAAATGCCAGTGTCTAGCACAGGGTTCCACCTCACAATCGTTAGTAAATTTCCCGATTATGAAATGAGATGAAGGTGTATGGACCAGAATTATTTGGTTTATTCATTCGTTCAATTATTTTTTATTTTGCTACTTGATGTCCCATGTGCTGCGTGCCAGACTATGCTGCCTGTGGGATCAGAGATCCTTTTCCTAGAATCACTTATGTACGAAGGACTTCATTCTTTCCTTTCAGCAGTTAAAAGCAAGAACAACTCATTAATCCTAGGCCTGTCTGAGAAGGTTCTGTGAATCTACAGCCTAGTAAATTCCTGGGGAAGTCAGCCAACCTCCTCTTTAGTGGAGTCACTGTGACATTACCAAGAGGAGGTTAGTTCTGAGTGGCTTCTAGGGAGCTTCCACTTCCCAGATGGGAGTCAGAATTCCTAGGATATGTCTAATCCACCATAAGTACAAAGGAAGTAGAGAGCTTCAAATCACAATTCTCTAAATATTGACAATTCTCTAAATAGTCTCTAAATATTTGGATTTAGAGTAAAAGTTGGATCTGAAGAATTTACTCATTGGCATCGCTAAACTTTACTTAGTGTCTGCGGTGAAGTCCCAGAGACTGGGTGTATAAAGGCAAAGAGCCCCTGGAGAGGATCTTCTTACTGTGAGCTTTGACTGTAAGCTGTTACCAACTTAGTCTAATGAGGCTCAAACTTTAGTAAATAAATATTCACTATATGTCAGGCATTTGGTGATATAGTAGTGGACAATATAGGCCCAGTTCCTATCCTCTAATTAGTGGTGGTTGGGTTAAGGAGATGCAAAAATAAAACGAGAACCCAAACTATGTATACCACTAAGGGTTTGGACAGAGTGGCTCAAGACTCTTGGGAAGTGCATAGCTCAGAAATGAGTCACCTGTGGGAAGAAATTGCCAATGGGGTGAGCTCCAAGGCTGTAAGGAGGCAAAGAAGAATGAGAGGAACCTATGGGAGCAGAGCAGAAAATAGCCTTGTTAAGGCTGCATGATGGGGCATCCAAGATATGAAAGGAAAGGGATATGATGAGGATGAGAAAGAATGGAGATCAGGGCAAATGAAAGTGGAGAACCAGTCCACACCAGGCATTACAGGTCACAGTGAGGAGTTTCTCTAGCCCAAAAAAACAGAGTCACTGAAGTGTTGTTCATGAAACAATGCTATTGTCAGATTTGTATCTCCAACAAGTCATTCCAACTTCAATGTAGAACCAAAGTAGGTTGGAGAGATCAGTTTTGAAACCATTGCAGGCATCCAAGGAGGAGATGAGACAGTTGCTTAGATTCAAGTGATGGCAGAAGAAAATCAGAAAAATAATAGAGATAATTACTCTCTCCCCCTCCATATGCGATCAGTTGATGAGACATGGAGACTAAAGGAGAAAGAATTGTCAAGGATGACCACAGTCTTTGGTTTATGTGACAAGGTGGAGGTTAGTGCTATTTATAGGTCCCTGAAACAAGGGAAAATGAATATCTTTAGAGGGAAACTATGTATGTGTTTAGGGCAATTTGAGCTTGAGAGATACTCTAAAAATGTAGCCAGCTAAAATTGTTGGTTTAGAATTCAGAAAAGAGATCTGAGCTGGAGGTAAAAAATGTGTGAGTTGGGCACACAGATGGTATTTGAAGCATGGAAGTTGATGAAATCATCAGGCGAGGGGGGAGAATAGAGTAAAAGAATCGGTCTTACAATAGAGGCATAAGGGTCTATAATATTTAGTGGGTAGAAGAAGATAAATCTGCACAGGAAACAGAGGGAATATTCAGACAGGTAGGAGGAAAAACTGGGAGAGGATAGAGCCAAGCGAAGAGAGTGTTTCAAGAATAAGTGAGTAATCAGCAGTACCAAATGCTGTTCCTAGGGCAGATTCAAGATCTGTGCTTAAAGGAAAGTGAAGATTTTTGGATAAGTATGAGAAAACTTTCCCCCAAAGTATTCTGAGATGTTCCTAAATAGAAGCACCTTCAGCAGTGACTGTGGCCCAATAATGGGATATACTTGAGAGTCAGAGAGGAACATTCAAGGGATTCTGAGACACCATCTCAAAAGCTAGAGCTCAGTGGTTTAGACAAATTCAGTGGGTTCAACCAACAGGCATCAGAGCTGAAAACTTAGATTCTACACAGTGAGGTTATTAGGAGGAGGCATGCTTGCTTGGTCCAACCACGCTGCAGATACAGGGAAGTGAATATACCCTGGTGCATAGAAAATCCAACTTTCATTTAAGTACCTTGTAGGGGAATTTGCTGAAGCCTCTGGGGATTTGTGCCTCCCTTCATAAAAGAGGGTACCAGTGGTATTCAAAGGTGCTACAGATATAGAGAAAATGGTTTTGAGACTAAAGGCCAGAGCACATCCATAAGCGGCTACTATACCTGAGAGGAAAAAAGAAGAGATGATGACAGAGTTTGGGCCAGCTCTGCACCTGCAGCAGACTCAGAAGCATGTCCACGGTGCTCACATTAACAGTGCTCAGTGGATCAGAGTTATGACGGGAGCTGTAGGGAGCCCATCAGGGTTAGTAGCTGATAGTGCCTCCTGGTAATGTGATGGCTTTCCCACACTTTTCATTGCCAGGACCGCATAGAAGGCAGTCTGCCTGACTCAGTGCCCCTAAGATCCAAGGATATGGATTACTTTTACCCTACATCTACCTTTTCAATGAGGTTCAGGCTTATTATTAATCTCAGTCCGTAAAGACTCTGTCTCTGACATGAGAAACTTCTTTTGATCAAGGACTGGGAATATGAGAATTGGGAGGTATCTAGATGCATCTTCTTCACTTCCACCCTTCACAGGACCCAACCTGAGAATAATCCAAGTAAACGAGATTTGTCAACAAGGCACCAGGTGATAATTTATACAGAGAAGCTTTGAACTCTGCTGAAGTCCCCTGTGGGATGTGGTCATAAAAAACAACCTTGTTGCACTGACAGGAGACTACTGTCTCCAACACAAGGCTGCATGCCTTGACCTTATACCTTAGCCATCCGTGCCCTCTGAGCTCTGAGCACTTTCAAAAGCTGAGCTAGTTCTCTCAAAGCAACAGCAGCTGCATCCTGTCCTTGTCTTTATTTTCCAAAAGCCTATGGTGGCTTAGTATCTCGTCTCTTCCTAGTTCCAGCCCAAAGTCCACAGTTGACCTTCAATGTGCTGCCTGTGTATGGAAACCTGATAGACAAGG